AGATTTGACATGTCGGGCTGTGCTCCTTCAAAGCCAGCGTGTAGTTGCAGATCCCAGTGTGTGAGTTGACTTGTTGCGGACGGGTCGACTTCGCACGAATCTGGGCGTGAGCTTGGGGAGAGCCGACTTCACACAACCTGCGTCGACTTAACCCCAGCGCCTAGTAGGGAGGTCCTTTAGGCTTGGGGATTTAGACTTTTTATTGAGTTACGTTACAACCCTGGTAAGCAGCCAACTATTGTTTTTAGAAGGCTCCCAGGACAGTTATTTGAAACTCTGTGGTGCCATGAGGCAGCTACTCCAGCGGATGCGATCTGCTGCACAGCTGCCTCAAATGGCCAGGCGGGAGTTTTCACGAAAGGCAGTTTACCGAAGTAACAGTCCCCTTGTTTACCGCTAAAGGATTCCTTTCTCTCTCCTTCCTCCTTTCTCCTCCTTCCTCCTTCCTGTTCCTTCGTCCTGCTCCTCCTCCTCGTCCTCCCTCTCCCCCTTGCTATGATGCCTAGTACTTTCTCGGCACTTCGGTATCTCCATCAGCCAGGACCTGCCATGGACCCATGCAGTGGGGCTTCTGCAGTGGATGGAGCAGGCCGCTAGGGGAACTGACCGATTAGGACTGCAAAACCTATCCTAACCATCTGCCCCTCAATGGGTTTGTGGGGCTTCATAGGGTAGAATAAATTATATACCTTATGAAGCCCTACAAGCCCACTTGGGGGTTATATCATAGGTACATGAGGACCCTAGGATAAACATTTGACTGCATCTTTTAGCAAGTCTTGGTAGTCGTGGAGTGTCTCATGGTCTGTCCCCCAATCGGGCTTCAACAAATTGCCTTTGTCTCACAGCTTGAGCATGCCATCAAATCCCGACGCTGCATCTTACAATGGCCGGCCGAGCAGTAGTGCCAATAGGTGTTGTTAAGCGTTTACTTTATAAACCCCTTCCGCTGATATCCAACAGAATTACACCCCCCCACGCTATTACATGAAACATGCCCCCTCCAACATCTAGCAGGCCTTTTGTGAAGACTATTCAGTATCACGGTGTTGTTGGATATTCAAGGTCAGGGGAAGCGACTACAAAGACAGAACGGCTCCACAGGGTGTCAGGCATTAAAGTTTTACAAGATGTCTTAGCCCTCATGGATTGCAAGGGCACTGTTTCAGAAAGCTTGTGAGACCCCTTAGCCCTAAACGCCAACTCACTAGTCCCATTCCCCCTGAACTCCGAACTCTAAACTCTAAACCCTGAATCCACCTAGATCCAAGGCCTAAATCCCCCACCCTAAACCGCAAACCCCAAACCCTAAACCCTAAACCTGAATTGCTGCCAAAGCCCTGAACCTTAAACCATGGCCTACAAGCCCTAACCCTGAAGCGAAACCCCGAGCCTCAGAAGCCCTGGCTCTAGGGCTGATCCTGCGCATCAGGGTAGGGATTAGGGTTTAGGGTTTAGGGTTTAGGGTTTAGGGATTAGGGTTTAGGGATTAGGGTTTAGGGTTGCTACAGAGGCTTTAGGGCTTTAAAGGGGGTTGTATAAGAGATTATATAGGGGAGTACTGTAGGGGTTATTAAGAAAACACGGCTGGTACTAAAAATTCTGCATGACCTTCCTATACTATCGTACGACATTTTCCCAAGGTAGAAGGTACCCAGTTTCATAAAGGATATTTAGTATCCACCGTACTGCACATCGGGGTCCTTGAAAAGGGGTATAGGGGTTATAGGGGGTTTAGGGCTTCGGGCTGGAGGTTGATACTAAAATCTTGTATGAGTTTACTCGAGTAATACCATAACAAGATATAAGGTACTTGGGATCATGCGTGGTTTGAGGCATCAAGCGGAAGATCTCCCAAGCCTTGCAACCCTAGACCCGGATTCCCACTTGGATGATGTTTTACTTGGTATGCCTAGGTACTCTCCCTAATAACACTGATTCGAACACTGGTTTTTGCCCAAAAGCCCCTGTTTGAAAGTTGACTTACTAAGCCAAGGCAGCTTCTAAGTAAACCCCCAACCCCAATCCCACACGTCCCTACATAGCCCCAAAAAGACGGAACCCGTAAACACTATGAACCCGCAATCCCACATGTCCTTGCAGTATATATTTATGCGTGCCTGCTTCAGTGCGATGCGCGTGCCCATATTATAGTCGTATAAGCTTATGTGAGTCAAACGCCAAGCAGGGCAGAGTGGTGCCCGACCGTGTGGCTCGCCTGGGTGCCGCAGACCGGTCGGTGCCAGGGCCAGGAGAGCGAAATATGGTATTAGGGTTTAGGATCTAGGGTTTAGGATTTAGGGTCAGGCTTTGGGGTTTTAGGCTTAGGGTGCCAGGTTTAGGGTGTAGGGGTTATAATCGAGACGCTAGTGTTGTATGCAGGTTATATAACATGTATGTAGGGAGTATATTAGGGATCTTACCCAATAATGATGAATCGACTGTCAAACCCTAAGCCCCAATACCCTAAGTGGAACATTAAATGGGAACCCGGCTTCCTGTTGCTTAATGGGGATTTTGGGAAACTGGAAGAAGACTCGGAAATGGACGTTTAGGGTGATTGAGGTGGAGTGGGGGAGTGATTATAAGTAGTGTAATAATGGGAGAATGTAGAGGAGATTCTACCAGGGATAATTGTAGGCCGGCTCCTCCAGAGCACCAGCGAGCAAGGTTTCAGTCAGGTTTCACAGTTTGAGTCTCGTCTGCTCTAATTTGCATTTCTATTTCGTAGTTTTGATAATCACGTGGAGTCAGGAGCTTTGGATTGTTTTGGCTTGCTTCAGCCTGATACAAAACGTTTCTTTTGTCAGGGCTGCAGGGCAGGTAAAGTAGTGGGAAGGAGACCTTGACTAAAAGGCTTGGTACCGTGGTCAGTCTGGCCCGATGCGGAATTCCGTTATAATGACAGGTCAAATCACCACTGACATGTGCAAGCCATACATAGCACCCGGCTGGAGAACTGAACTGGCGACTATACCCTTAAGTGGCTCTGTAGTGTCAACTTTCATGTCCTTTGCTTGGTCCAAAAAAGATGATCGTTAGTCGTGGTGTGTGCATGTATATAGAGATAACATGAAATAGTTTATATTGGGCACATCCCCGCTTGGGCAAATCTATGCGCCTCGTCAACAGCCTGTAATGGGGGCTTCTCTCAAAATCACGTGCTCTTTTGGTGTGCAAACGGAGAAGCAATCTAATTTTCTATGATCTACTGTGAAGCAATCATTCTGAGAAACACACCAGGCTGTCATAAAGCTAAAGGGGTTTAGGGATATTATCCCCCAACAATGGAGAATCACATGGCAATGAACATGGAACATGAAATGGAAACTGGGATTAGAGGTAGGCTTCCTGTGCAGACGCAAGGTTGGGGGAAGCCATTGGACCAGGTCTTTGGCCGTCTTACTTGGTTTGGAGCAGCTGGGACATCTGAGCTACAGTCTAAACTCCTTTACAGTAAGGGGTTCTCATAGGAGATTATATAGGGGAGTATTATGGGGGTGATTAGGGGGGATACTTGGAGTTTAGACCCCAAACCCAAAAAACCATCTAGCCTGATGCTTTCGCCAGGGATGTCTGAAGTAGAGGGGTGGGCCGAGCAAAGGAGGTGTCCGGCGAACATATGTAGTTGTGGGGGAGATACAAGCTTTCCGGGAATCTGGGATCGGGGAGTATGACCAGAAGATTTTGTAATCCCAACCCCCAAGATCAGGACCCTATAGGTATCATGTGATTATAAATTGGGCTAAATTTCGGGCATTGGGGTTACCAACATCTTTGTTACTAGTATTACAGTCGAGGGACTCCCTCCCCAGAGCCTACTAGTCAGATCCGGGTTTAGGGTTTAGGGTGGCGTGAGGCCGCGTGGGGCTCCATGTGTGCCAGGGTCAGGTGTACTGGTTGTCCTACGATACCCCATATTCTTCCCGATAGTATGATAATTTCTAGTCTTTTCCCGTTCCCAAGACGCTTAGCCTTAAATAGCATTTCCCATTTTCTTTTGCTGCAAACAACCATAAGCAAGGAGATGTCCCCTGAAAGTGGCGGTGGTTCGCGTTTGCGTTTAGTATGCTTGTCCTTGTGGTAGGAGGCTGCCAAGCTTGCCGGCCTAAGCCCTCAACCCTAAGCCCTACACTACATCCTAAACTGCCCTAAACCAAAAAAACAGGAGGCCTGTACCTTGGGTTAGGGCTCCACCCACTACTAGAGGTATAGTAGGAATGTATGGGGGCCCTAGCCTAATCAGCATTAGCCCTGGTGGTCACTGGGTGGAGGCATAGCCCATCCGACGCCTGACAGGTGCCTCGTGTATTGTATGTTTAGGTGCTCGCAGCCATTTTCAACCCCCCTAAAAAATCTATTTTGATACCGCACTACTGACAAACGTGAAACCTTACAATTCCTGTGTAGGCCTGGCTGATTCGTGCCGTAACATTCTGTCAAGCAGCCCGGCCAGAATGCTGAGTACTAATGATTCCTGAGCTTACAGTGTCTCAAGTTTCTCAAGACGCCAGTTATGTAGCAGCGTGAGTCATTATTCATAGTACTCCCCATTTACACTTGCTCTCATGCTTCACCGTAACACTCGCCAGAAGGACTCCCATGAACTCAAGATCAACCCCGCCAAAACTTTATGAGCTTCATAAGCCCTATACGAGCCACAACGGCCTTGTAAGGTTACCAAAGCCCTTAGCCCCAAACCGCATAGATAGAATCTAGAGTCCCCTGTAAAAAGCCTGCATTAACCCGTCATAAGGTAAGAAGCCCAAAGCCAAAACCCTTAAAGCCTAGGTCCTAAACACCAAACCCTAACCCCATAATTACAAGCTGCATTAGGCCCTGGCGGTTGGCTCCGGGTGCCAGCTCCTTTAATGCTGCGATTTCATCTTGCGCTGCTTCAGGTGGGCCCACAGCTGGGGGCTCAGGGATTCTGGGTTAAGGGTTTCAGGGTTTAGGGTTTCGGGTTGAGGGTTTTACGGTCGCAAGGGCTTTTTGATTACGCTGAGGCTTTGAGGGTTAAGGGTTCAAGGGTTTGGGACTTGGGGCTTATAGTTCTTGGATCGAAAACGACAGGCTCTGCAAGCAATGCCGTGGACAACAACTTGACAATCGGGACATGCTAAGGTTCTTGCTTGAAGATTTTGTTGAATCTTTTGTTAGAACCAAACCAGAAATGTACACTCATTGTTTGCAATGGTTTCGCCCAAAGGAACTAGTAAACCTCAAGCCGGCAAAACCCAAGTAATGACCAGGGAATATTTTCATTACCCTAGACCCTGAACCTTAAACTGCATGAGGGTGTCGTATAATCTGTCTACCCTGCCTCAAAACCGAAGCTCCCTGAACCCAAGTGCCCGTCTAGGTTGAGGTTCGGGGTAGTCATAGCCCAGGTATAGCTTGTACGTGAGACCTAATTACAGCCGCATTTAGGGGACTAAGGTGGCTCATAGTTGGTGTATCCGCACAGTTATAGTTGGGCTATAGTTACCTTGAACCTCCCTAAGCCCTGAGCCTTCAAGACTAAACCCTAGGCCCTAGACCCTAAAACCATAAAACCAAGTGATGAAATGAAGGCGTATGGGTTCCAGCGCTGTCTTTGATGGAGCTCAGGGAAGCGCAAGGGCTGGCAGACAAGCCGCCAAGCCTCAAAAGCAGAGCTTTGAGGATTTCGGGGTGTCCCTAAACCCTTAGCCCTTAACCCTAAGTAGGGTAGGGTTTAGGGTTCAGGTGGCGGTTCAGGGTGTGGTCTGGGGTTCAGACTTTTTGGCGGCCTGGGCTCTGATATTTCAGTGTTCTTAACTGCTTGATTCGACTACGCACGCACGAGAGAGATTTGGGCTTATTGTCTCCCTTAAGTAGATAAAATATGGGGGTATATGGGGATCTTATTCTAATATACCCCAAGCCATATGCTATCTATTTAAGGGGGACTATAAGTTCAGGCTGAAGGGTTTAGGCTGAGGCGTCGCGGTTGAGTCTAGTCAGGGCTTATGCACCCCAAAGTCTGCAATTTTGGAAGATGGTCCCTGTTTCACAGCTTCCTGAGGCTAGTATGCGTTGACTGTTTGTATGGATATGTGGAGTGCACCCTCCCAAACTTTGGAACCGAAGCAAATGCGGAAGTTTACCAGTCACCCAGCCAAGGTGTCGTTCAGAGGTTGGCAACCCTAGGGTTTAGGATTTCAGGTTTAGGGTGGGCCTACATGCTAAACCCTACCACCGAGACCCGTGCTGTGTATACGTAAAAAAAACGCAGGTTGCTAAAAACGACTGGACCCCTAGATCTTAGATAGAGGGTGCACTCTGGGATCTCAGGGCTTAGGATTCGATATGGGAACCCAAACCCCTAACCTAGGATCAGCCCTTACAGTAAGTGTCTGTATCTCGCACTCAGATCTAGCATGCCCAGCGTCACCCCAAGCTGAAACCTAAACAACAAGCCCGGATTTCTACACAATAAGGCCTGGAATTTTCTGAGTGGCCCTTAGGTAAGGTTCTGAGCACCTGACAGTGGAGTGAGAGTGTGTGGAAGGTAAGCTGCTTCAGAACGCATCCCTAAAGTTTTCCGACCCTAAGCCATCCTAAACCCTAAGCAGAATTTGGCATTGAAGTGTCTCAGGGGTTGGAGTTGTAGGATCGGGGTTGTAGGGTTTCACAGAGCTTAGATGCATGCGTTGACGTAAGGGTTTGGGGGGTCTAGCAGGGCATAAGATTGATAGGTTGAGGAGCTGAGGGTTTGGAAGCGCTTATGTTTTTGAATCATGGTTTGGGGTTCGAGGATCCGCAGAATTATGACTAACTTTGAAAGGGTGGGATGTAGGGCTTCGGTCCCAGGCGCAGGATCTAGGACTTAGGGTTGTTACTAGAATACATAAATCATGGACAGTTTGCGATCATTGTTGTCGGCCTTCTCTTGGTATGGGAGGTGTAGTTTGCCTTGGGTGCTTTGTGGCTGAGTCTTTCAGCGTGGTCAGTGATTGTAGCTGTCTTGGGCACCCGCACAGTAGTCTTCGTAATCCCTCTTCCTAGTGTTAGACCTCCCGCCAAGCCTATAACTCTACTTTCGGCAAAAGCCTTTTACATCGGGGGACATTCATGACATCAGGGGCTTGAATAAATAAGGGAGACGTGAGTAGCCTTTGTAGGTCCCTCTTGGGGTTTCGAGCTGCGCAGAGATGTCTACGTTGACTCTAATGACTATAGCAAAAGAAGGGGCAGGAACATTGTGTAGAAGTTGAAATGACTACCAACATCATGGCCTTGGATTCCTTGTATATTTCTCGCACAGGTTGCTTCAAATGGACCTCAAGCGCTAAGCCCTAACTAGACTACACCCTCACCCTAAATAGCCTAAGCCCTAAAACTTAAATAGCCTAAACCCTAAGCCCTGACCAAAATGATATGTGGGTGGCTGTCACAATTATGGTCCCTTTTTGGGTGCCCTATTATAATACAGCACCTAATATTTAGGGTACCCAAAAAGGGACCATAAAATTTGACAACCACCCATATTTGGTAAGTATGAAGGCCGCATCCTTTCGAGGCGAGCACGGCAGTACCTTGGGTTTGTGGCTGAGGGCTTGGGGGGACCTACCCCTGTGAAACCTATAGTCCCCCTTAAGTAGATAGAATATGGGGTATATGGGGATCTTATCATAATATACCCAAAGCCATATTCTATCTACTTAAGGGGGACTATAGACCCAAAACCCTGTACCCTGAACCCCAAACTCCAGATGCTAAACCCCAAAGACACGGCAACTGGAATACCTCCCAAGTCAAGGTTTGGCTACAGCAGCCTCTTCGATGCTATGGAATCCCGACACAAGAACTCTTCCTCTTGACGTTGAAGGGTTTGGGGTTTCAGTTTACTGGGCTGCTGTTGGAAGTTAAAGTAAGTTACCAAAGTTAGGAAACTCCATTATTTACCATCTACCCCTGTTGTGGTAACTTTATTTAAGTTCCTTAGCAGCAACCCAGCTTAAGGACAGGCCTTTCAGCACCTAGGTACAGCCCTCGAGAGTATCCTACCGAATTCAGGCAATTTCGGGGGTGGTGGAGCTTGCATTTGTGTCGGTGGACTAGCTTGGCAGTGGTCCCATACACCGCATGTGCACCCAGACTCGAGGGCAACCAGGCACCCTAACCCCTAAACTCCCTCGCACCCCCCCCTTAGATTTCTTTGCAGTTTTGTCGGTCATGTCCGGATGCAGGCGAGCCGGTACATCTGAGATGATGCAGTTTAGGGTTTTAAGGTATAGGGTTTAGGGACTTCCATCTCTACAGGGTAGCCGCAGTTTGCAATGAATGTGTTTGACTCTCTCTCTCTCTTGCAGGCCAGCTGTCGTTGTTAGCTTCTTGCTGCACATCTTGTTGCCGCCGAGTGCAGGTTCTAATTGGGAATCTGAACAAATGGCAACGTTTACTTCAGCAGCTCAAGAGAACTTGATTTCCGAAACGCAGGCCCACATATATGGGGATTTTATTGTGATACTGGAGAATTACACATGTTTTTTTTAAGCTTAAGGGGGACTATAGCCCTACACCCAGTTCGCGCGTCCTACAGTTCTGTTTTTTTTTGGCGGCTGTGCGTCATAGGTCCGGCAGAAGTGCTTATAGCTGGAATCACCGTGCGCCTTATGATAAAGCCGCAGTTGGGGTCAATGTAGCAGCCTGAAGATTTTGCCAACATTATCTGTATAATCATTCTATAGCTATAGTAGAATATATTCGTAGGCCCTATTCGGACTACGTCGGCCTCTGCATTACTTCCTGGTGAACATACTGGTAGTTTCCCAAAACAAGGGAACTCTAATATACACCGCAGAATATTATTGTCCTTACTATGGGGACCCCAAAAGGGTACGCCTGATAGTGGGAAACCGTGGGAAACCTTAACCCCTAGACCCTAAGCCCTGTCTATATATCCCCTATAAACCCTTAAAGGTACCCCTAATTTTGGGAAACTCCCACTGGTAGGAGTTTGCACTGAAGCATTTCCGCAATGACAAGGCAAATGCTGCCTCTTCGGGACAGCTGTGGCAGGCAGCCTTGTTTCTGACTGGTGGTCAGCAATCCCAAGCAGGGGTCGAAAGGTTAGGGTTTAGGACTCAGGGTCTACTGTCCATTTTGTGGGCTTGAACTTTGGGGGTCTAGTTCTATTTGAGATGGGGTGACAAGGTAGCAAAGACATGCACCGAGCAGAAGTCCTACGCTGGATACTGCCCCGCCACTTCGTGACATTTGGAGAGTATCTATATTATGAGTATATACAGCCCTTAGTATTATTCCTAGCATAGATTGCTACTGAGTGGAGATTATTCTAGTCCCAAGGGTCTAGGGTTTCAGGCCTCGGGATGAGAGACGGAAGACCCAGGCCTTGCAAAGTCCCTTTTCAGCTTAGGGTTCAGGGTTTCAAGTCTAGGGCTTTTAGGGTTTTGGGTTTAAAGTCTATGATTTTAGGGCTTGGGGGCAACAGGAGGTTGAGATTGCTAGAAAGGTTCCGGGGCTGAACGTTTTGATATGTTTAGGGTTTAGGGTTTAGGGTTGGTCCTAGCCAGGACGTAGCGACAGTAGTATGTTGGGGTCCATATCAGGGTCCCTCTAATGCATGCAGACTACCACTTTGTAATGGGCCGTCTGCGAAGCAATGACCCGAAACCTGAAACCCTAAGCCCTAAAGCTTAACCC